CCCTCTACAGTTTCTCTGGTTTAACTAGCCAAGTTGAAAGGTTATCCTGTGTTGTACAATATTTAAATGTTCCTCTTGTACTATTTAGGTTTAAGCTAATCTCACCTGCAGTTTTCCCTCTACAGTTTCTCTGGTTTAACTAGCCAAGTTGAAAGGTTATCCTGTGTTGTACAATATTTAAAATGTTCCTGTTGTACTATTTAGGTTTAAGCTCATCTCACCTGCAGTTTTCCCTCTACAGTTTCTCTGGTTTAACTAGCCAAGTTGAAAGGTTATCCTGTGTTGTACAATATTCATATGTTCCTGTTGTACTATTTAGGTTTAAGCTCATCTCACCTGCAGTTTTCCCTCAACAGTTTTTCTGGTTTAACTAGCCAAGTTGAAAGGTTATCCTATGTTGTACAATATTTAAATGTTCCTCTTTTACTATTTAGGTTTTAGCTAATCTCACCTGTAGTTTTTCCTCTATAGTTTCTCTGGTTTGCTGAATAAGCTCTGGGTCTTCAACAGCAAAAGCTGGAAAACTGATTATTGAAAGGAGAGCAGCATCCACTTCCTGGATAAAAGAAGTAAACTCTCAACATGTTTCCTTCATTATTACATTTAAAACTAGTTAAAATCATTTAGTAAAAAACTACATTCATACTACAGATTCTTGGCATGTCTAATAAATACTAATTTTAAGTATTCCTTTTCTCTTAAGCAACGTTTTAACTTGATATGCAAAAAAACAGTAACCAAGATATCAGAAAAAAAAAAAGTAATTTTTATTAATAAGTTATAAAACCAATGAATATGCTTTTAGTTAAAGATTATCACGTATTTCCTGGGTGCAATAACTCTGTGTAAAATTACATTTTATTACGAGAGAGCCATGACAAATATTGAAACTAGTGCTCTATGAGTTTCTAGTGACATGTTCCCAAATCTGGCCTAATTAATAAATATTTTAAAGAACTTTTGAATGTTCTTCAGTTTTTAGCAATACTTAATTTAGCTCTCTCTTATAATGTATCTAAAAAAAAGTAAGATTATATCATTTTTATTCTAAGTTTTTCCTACACCTGCGTTTTCTTGTACATTTGGTGAAAACCCCCTTAACCCTCTCCAAACAGGTCATGGGTCAAAGGCCATGTCATTACGTTTGTTGACTCACATTTAAAATTTTATTGAACTACTATTTCATGTCAATAAGTTTGGTATCAAACTGTAGATTATAATTAAAGTTTTAGTATTATACATTATTAAATTTCTTAATTTAAAATAAATATTAAAAAAAAACAGAGATAAACAACGATTTTTGTGTGTCACGTGGTATGTTGAATGCAGCACCGTTTCAAATTAGATGTTTGTGAAGTCAAAATACTAAGTCTATAGTTTCGTACAAATTAGCAACTCATATTATCGATATTGACAAGCTATAATATAAAATAAGAATCTCTTATCTTTTCTATTTGCTGAGATATCACTCATGTACCGAATCAAACACAGTGGCCCCGCACATCTCTTTCCATTTTTGAAAACACTCCCTTATATACACTTACTTCAATATATGACATGTGAACAACCAATTGAAAGCTCAGAATATCCCCCTAGTGGCTTTCTCAGCCATTTTTATCTGTTAGGACATCATCTCATTCTTTCGAAACAAGATTTCGAAGAGGTAGGTTGTGTCTGCTCAACATTTAATATTTTTTTAGACCCAAATACAGCTTAGTTACTAAGCTTGATAAATTATAGCGGAATTCTTTGGTGCTGATATAATGATTTATGATTTTTTAGTTATTCGACTGTATATATAAAACTTTAAAACTCAGAAAAACGTCTGGTTTTAGTGGCATTTATCCTGAGTAAATTTGGTTTTTGCGACATTTAGCCGCAGCAGGTTCAGGTTTCATCCAGTTTAGCCTCAGTAATTTTGTCTTTAGTGGCTTTTAGCCTCAGTAGGTTCAGTTTTAGTGGTGTTTAGCCCCATTTGTAGTATTTTCAAAACTTGGCTTTGATTCACTTTTTTATTAAAACTAAAAATATTACCCAAGCTTAAAAACAATTTAATAACTCCTTTTAAATAATCAGTTTCAATTTGTTTTTTACATGTATAATACAGTTGTTGTATTTTCTCACAAGTTTTGGACTGCTTCACATCTTTAAGACGCAGATCAGTATTCAGACACCGGGTAGAAGTTAGTGTTCTAAATTAAACTATGGACATTAAAATCACCAGGTAATAACTAAACTGGCTTACAACACCACAGTTTACCTTTGAGTTGGATTCCCTGGGTAGCATAGACTGAAGAACAGCCTAAGTAAAAAATCATTATATATAAGTATATATAGCAGAGTAAGTGCACTTCAAATAACCAAAATATTGACAAAACAAACTCGTACAAATATAAGCTGTACATACAAGACAAATTAATATCTAAAAAATAAAAGAAAAATGCACAAGTTCAAAATACATTAAGAATTATTTTATATGTA